AAAGAGTTGAATTACTTAAGTGCTTTGGATTACATTGGTTGCCCTCTGGTTAACTTAGAGTGGTAAATGTTACCTTGTGTCTATAAGGAAGAGGAGAAACAACTTAGTTCACCTGTGTATTAAGGCTTTGTAGGACTGAGGTCTGTATGTTTTAGTTAATGCGCTTTTAAATTATGTTGACATCAATACATGTTAACTTTTTTGTTGGAAAGTTTTTAGATGGCCATCTGTAAGTTCTGATGAGTCTAAACCCCTTTCCTTTAGAAGATGAGGGAGGTAATTGCAGGAAGAATAGTATTATGCATGTTGACAAACAAGTAAACTCTCTCTTTAGTATTGACCTCACAGGAGATGCAACTACTAGTAATGCTGGTGTCAATAGTGCAGACTCAAGGCAACAAGAAGATGACAGCAGCTTCTCACTGATAACGTGGAACATTGATGGGTTGGATCTAGGAAATCTAAAAGAACGAGCTAGAGGAATCTGTTCTTATCTGGCATTGTAAGTAAAGCTTCATATTTGTATTGTCATTGTTAAAGGAGAAAACAAGCTTCTTGTTTTAGATACCTAGAAGTCTTCATGCCCAAATTATCTTAATGTTAGATGCCACAATACAATCACTCTATAAATCCTAAATAGCTGAATAAAAGTTGATACACTGGTTGAAAGAGGTGTGAACCTATGCAGCATCCCAAAGGTTAAATGTTTTGTGATGGCTACTTCAAAAAGTTTTTTTTGTAATGAGCAATAGTGTTCAAGTTGCAGTCATACATCAAGAGTATACTTCATACTTTCATCCTGTACATGAGAGAAGGATAAAACTGCATGAAACTTGTTTGTCTCATTCCAGTGGTATGAATAACCTCACACTAAAGCAAACTGTTTGAAACAACAAAAAAGATTTTTTTAGTGAAATATGAAAAGTGGCTCTCTTGCCATTACTGTTACTTGTCTGTTGAAAAAGAAAATGTGCGAGGCAAGGTAAAAGCAATAGAATCTGTGATTACCTTTTATAGTTCCACCAGTGGAAGCCTTCCATGAATATATTTATGAGCAATTTAACAATTACATAAATTGATTTAATACAGTAACTTAGCACTGTAAATTAAATTATTTAAACAAGTGATAATTTGGGTTCCTCTTAAAACAGCAGGAACCCCTTAACTAAATCAATTTTCACTTGATTTTGTTAATCTGGGGTGACAATATTTTTCTTCTGTAAATAAGACCTTAGGTTTGTCCTTCACCTGCTTAGAGCAGGGCTATTCAGCAGTGTAGCAAAAATAGGGACAGCTGTAAAGACATGTCTAAAATCAGCATTGTCAGGACTGCTGCCCCACACGAACTGTTACTGATTGCACAGCTCTAAGAAATAAGAGCTTGGTATTGATGAGATTGGAGAAAATGAATGGCAGGTTACCTGAGGGGATCTGTTGTGAGGGACTGAGGTGGTGGTTGGAATCTCCTGGAGAACTTAGATGCTGCAGAACATGTTCCAAAGCTGCTCTGCAGCTAGGTTGAATTCCTCGTGTATGTAGTATATGAAACCTCTTCAAATGTTTGTAAGTCATGCTTTTTATTACCATGTGAGTTCGATGTCCATAATAATCAGTTTCCTCACTTTTAACAATGGTGATGTGTCTACATGCTACTAAACATGATGGAGAGAGATTTTTCTTTTTTTTAAAAAAAAATTCTTGCAGTGTCTATGAAGATGAGGACCAGGTGCACCTGAAATCCCTGACCTTGTTCCTTCTGGCCTCAGAGTGTAACAGTACTACCTTTCGGTTAATTTAAATTTAGTTAATTTAAATTATTGTCTTGCCAATTTCAGATACAGTCCAGATGTTGTTTTTTTACAAGAGGTCATCCCACCACATCTCTGTCTTCTACAGATGAGAGCAGGCAGTTACACTATTATTCCAGGTAAGAAATAATCCTCAGTTTCTGAAGACAGAAACCATAAAAAGCAAGTTTGGTTTTATTCTGCCTCCCTTGCTAAAATCTCTGACAATTTGTAGGAATGAAAAGAGTAAGGTCAAGAAAGAAGCACTTAAATTACTTCCTGTGCTTTGATATCAGGATATAGTTTGTTGCAAATTATGCATGTGAAAAGCTTGCTTGCCTGGTGGCTTCCTCTGTATTTTGTCTGCATTTTGAAAGACTGATAGCAAGGGTAGCCAAAAAAGTTCCATAAGTAAGTAATTTCTTAAATATTTACATTTAAAAAAATATGAAAAATTCACACCGCTATTATGAAACTTAACTAATGACTTTGTACATCTTACACATTAATTTGATTCTGCCAGGTCATGGTAAAAAGGTCTCTTTAGGAACCTTAACTGCTTTATGGCACGGCAGAAGATATCCTTAACTGTTTCTTTCCCTGTTTCTCTTTAGGTAACGTGGATGGCTATTTCACTGCCATAATGTTGAAGAAATCAAGAGTGAAGCTACTGAAGCATGAGACAATACCTTTTCCAACAACCTCCATGATGAGGAACCTTTTGGTTGTGCATGTGAGTCAGTATGTACTAAACAGCTGTGTTTCTGCCTTCAAAGCAAAAAATCCCAGGAAAGACTGGACTGGCTTTACTCTAGGACAGTCTCAAACAGCAGAAAAACTCCAAACATACAAACCCAGTTGCATTTGATGCTAAGAAACTTAAATCTTTTATGTAAGTTACTGGCTGTACTTCATTTTCAAGTCTTATAACCTCTGAAAACATAACTAAAAGTCTGTTATCCTCCTGTAAGCCACTTTTCAATGTAAAACTAACATTAACCAGAGCTCTGTCATTCAGTAATTTACTCTGTGATTAGATTTTTGTCTTTGAACTTCTTATCGTGGTATGGATGGTAACATTGCCCCTCTGTTTCATGCACAGGTGAGCGTATCTGGTAATGAACTTTGTCTTATGACCTCTCATCTGGAGAGCACTAAAAGTCACTCTAAGGAGCGTTTGAAGCAGCTGCAAATAGTGTTAAACAAAATGCAGGAGGAGTCTGAGTCCACCACTGTTATATTTGGAGGGGATACAAACCTCAGAGACAGCGAGGTAACTAGAAATAAGCAACCTTGTTATTTTGAGAGGGTATTCTGACAAAATCTTCTCAGGCTCTTCTGTTGTCTTTATGAGAAATGACCTGCTTAGGCAGAACAGCAATATGCAACGTTTATTCTAATAAGTGGAAGCATGGCTAGGTAGAAGCTGCTGCTTTGCTGTGCTGAGGCATTGTTATAGCTGAGGTGATTCCCCCCCCCCTCCCCCGAGTAACAAAATGCTTTATTGGCAATGTTTATATCTGAGAAGATGCAGAGATAGTTGATGAAGTTTCGACTTCAAAGTATCTTCTCATTTTGAGAACCTGATCTTTACTTGTTCAACTCTCCCATTCTCAGAGAGTTAATGCTTGTAGAATCAATGAAAGAAGAGGGTGCTCTGGAGAAAGATCTTGGGAGTTTAAAATTAATCCCTCCTCATTGAGACATTTGAAATTAGAAGTAATTTTTGGCTGCTGATATTAAAAGGGGAATTTATGCATTATTACTGAAAGGTCAGTGTTTCCCTATCATGACATTCCATTGCAGTGAACTGGAACAACATTGTTTCAGAGAACACTGTGTTACTCCCATACCTCAAAATTTCAGACCTGAATGTTTATTTTGTAAGATGTTTTGGATGTAGCAAGTGCTAGAGGAATTGGTGATGCTTTAGAGTATCCTGAGAAATACCACAATTTAGAAACATCTCCAGTATCTTTGGTTTTAACAACTTATGTTTTGCAGAAAAAAAAGAGATGCTGTGACAACTGAGTTCTGGTTTTGAAGATAAAATTTGTGAATTCAGTATCTCATGGATTTTTTTTCTCCCCTTCTACCTTCAGGTTACTAAACTAGGCAACTTACCTAACAACATAATGGATATCTGGGAGTTTTTGGGTAAACCTCAGCACTGCCGCTATACTTGGGACACCCACTCCAACACCAACCTGGATGCAAGGTACAAGTGCAAGATGAGATTTGACCGCGTTTACTTTCGGCCTGCAGCAGAAGGACATATTATTCCACGAAGTATGGACTTAATTGGATTGGAAAAACTAGACTGTGGCAGGTTCCCTAGTGATCACTGGGGTCTTCTGTGTAATTTTGATGTGATATTATAAAAAAGAAAACAGGCTTCCATTGTTAGTTTTTAGGTGATTTATTCTTGCTTTTACAAAATTTTACCCTCTCAGTTTAAGTAGGGTGTACTTAAATTTTCAACCCTAACACATTCTCTGCTCCTGACTTCTGCTGGAATGGCTTCATTTCAAGACAGGGTTCCCTTTTCCTCATTGTACACATCTGTTCTTGAGTCATGTTTTAAAATATTTATATTTAACAATATATACAAATACAAAACCAAATTCTAGTTTTAAAATGGGAGGAAAAACCTGTAAATATGATTCATAAACATAGTTGATAGTTTTAAAGATACTTTTATTTTGGCTTGTATTATAATCTCATAATAAATGCTGCTTTTTTATTTTAAGAATACTTTTATTGTGCCTGCTTTTGTTTCTTTATAACTGTATCTTTTTTTAGAGTGTTTTGTATTGGCTTCTTAAGTTTGTGTTGTACGTGTGTACCCCTTCAGGCAAGACAGTGAAAGAGCTGTGGAAAGAATTACTAGATTCTCACAGAATAAGGGTTTCTTCAGTCAGAATTAAGGTAATATTGGACAGATTTAAGAATGATATACCTTCTGTTTGACAAGAAAAGGATATAGGCAGCTCCATGGAAGTTGTTCACTTGGGATGATGTATACCTTACTTTGTGTTTATTAACATGGATGTAAGTTGCAGATTAAAATGTATTCTCTTTCCAGTGAGCTTCTAGAAACAATGCTCTTATAAACTGCTGTGCAAAGCCTGAGCAGCTCTTGGTCTCACTGACTTTGCAAAAGATCAAACAGGCTTCTTACTTGAAGAACTGTATAGTCACTTGTAGAAGCTGTCGGTTTATAGATGGGCAAAATACTGAGCTGATTCAAAAGGGAAAGTCTCCTAAGTTTCTGATGTGAAGTTCAGTGCACTGGCATGGAGAGGAAGCACAGACAACCCCCATCAATGACATGTGTGAACACAGAGAGAGCCAGCCTAAAATCCTTTATTTCTTTGTTTGTAAACTTCAGGCTTAAGACCAAAGACAAACAACTTGTGATTTCTGGACTTCTGTGGAGCCAAGCTCCCAGCCAGCCACTTGCTCAGTCCCCCCTTCCCCAGGGAGATGGGAGGAGGAAAGAGGAGAAACAGAGGCAAGAAAGCTCATGGGTTGAGATAAAGACAGGGAGATTGCTTACCACTTACCTTCATGGGCAAAAGAGACTTGATTTGGGGAAATTAATTTATGGCCAAGTAATATATATATTTAATTATTGATTCCCTGTATTGGGAAGCAAGATGATGAGCATTTAAATACTTAGGGGAAATGCCTTTCCTCTCTTTCCCAGGCTCAATGTCACCCCCAGCTCCTTTCCTTCCCTGTTGTTATGGCCGCAGGTCCTGCTCCGTCCCTTCAGCAAGGTGAGGAGCACCAAGAGAGGGTTATGGTCCGCACACAAATGTGCCTCTTGGCCCTGCCCTCCCCCTCCTGCGTCTCTGCTCCGGGGCAGGCCCTTTGAGGGCTAAGGCCGTGTGTGTTCTGTCATGGAGCACTTCCTCTGACCTTGGTGTTCGCTCTGCTGTTTCTCACTCTCCTTTTATTCCTTCTCCTCTGCTTGCCCAGCATTTTCTGCTCTGCCTTACGTATGCTTTCTCTGAGGAGCCACCACCTTGGCTGCAGGGCTCAGCCATGCTGTGGTGAGTCTGCTGCAACTGGTTGTGACTGACTTGGGGCAGCCCTGGCTGTTCCTCACAGAGGCCCCTGCAGCCCCCTGCCAGCACCTGGGCACCTGCACCCGATGCAACCTTCAAAAAACCCCCCCCCAAAAAAAACAACCGGGTTCTCACACAGGCAAACAGCAGTGGCGCTCCCCTGCAGCCCTAGCTGCCCAGCAAGGAAAAATGCACTGACACCATTATTGCTTAGCCTAACGTGTCTGCCTGCATGCTCCAGCCAGCCAAGCGCCGAGGAAGGAGGAGCGTGTCCGGACATTGCCCTTCCCGCCTTGTCTTGCACCCTGCAAACATGGCGAGTGGGGCTCAGTGCAATACAGGGCAGTGGAAGACAAATTTGTGGATCCTCACCCTGAAATAGAACAGACTAGATTATTTCAGTTGGAAGGGACCTACGGCAATCATCTAGTCCAACTGTCTGACCACTTCGGGGCTGACCCAAAGGTAAAGCCTGTTGTTAAGGGCATTGTCCAAATGCCCCTTAAACCCTGACAGGCTTGGGGCATCGACTGCCTCTCTGGGAAGCCTGTTCCGGTGTTTGACCACCGTCTCAGTAAAGAAATTCTTCCTCATGTCCAGTCTGAACCTCCCCTGAATAGGATGCTGAAGAGTCGGATCCTTAACCAGCTCCTTCTCCTCCCAGGAACAGGGAGGCCTGAGGTTGGTGTGGTTTTCCATTGATTCAACAGGAGGCCTAGGTGACCTTACTAAACAAGCAAATAAACTTCAGGATGTTAATTCGCTTCCACAGAAGTCAGGTGCAGAAATCTCCAGTTTTGCTTTCGCTTCTTTAAACATCAAACCCCAAATTCCTTTACTAAAGATGAAAGAGGCTGGCCTGTTTTGGGAACGATGTCCAAACCCTCACATCCTGATTACTCTCAACGTATCCCATTTTTATAATCTCAGCTTCAAAAACAAGGAAGGAGAAGTCACTGATACTTTTTTTAACTTGTGTTGGGCCTGTGATCTCTTCTTTCTATTCCCAAATAAATAGTTCTATAAAAAAGTGAAAAATATCCACAACTGTCAGGATTTTCCTTCTGGTTTTCAAACGGGGCTGGTGCAGTCATGCTGACTTGCTGCATGCTCTCTTCTTCCTCTCCAAGAGCCTTCAAAGAAATGTCATGGGGTTTGTTTTCATCGCTGATGCCTCCTCCCTGTCCCTGGTAGGTACAGCCAAAGGATACGTGGGGAAGGTGAAGGCAGGGGATGATAGTTTAACTTTCCCAAAGACTTTGGAAAAGGGGAAAGCACAATAAACTCATGCTTCGCCACAAGAAACACCGGTTTACGTGACCTCCTGGATTATGGTTGGTTTTGTTTATGTGGCTACACCTTCTGGACTATTTTGGAAGATATGAAAAAGGCTGACTACTGTTGTTCTAGGATAAGTTTTTAATTTGGGGAAGAAAGAACTGAGAAAAAAGAGTTCAGAGCAGTGTGCAACTCAATGCCTAAACTCCAGATGCATTTGTAGCATTTACTAACTGATTCCTCCTCTGATCCACAGTCGCTCTTAAACTTTGCCATAGATAGGGAGCAGCAACATAATATTTTTATTAGGAACAAGCAAAGACATGACACTCTGTAAGGGCAAATTCATTTTTCTAATTCTAAAAGATCAGCAAGAGGAAGACTGTATTCAGTGCAATTAGTGGTTAGTCATTCTTTCAGAATGAGGAAATTATGCATACAGCCTTTAAAACTCTTCTTAAACTACAGAAAAAGTGATAATACTTAAATAAATTTAAGAAGACATAAATGATAAACATTTTACTGACTATTGGATGTGAAGCAATACATCTTTAATTAAATATACTTTAAACCACTTAATAAGCGTCCAAATTGCTGACAATCAAGAGCAGTCAGAGCCCTTCAATTAATTTGCCTCTTAATTTAATCGGTGATGTCAAAGGTAAAATATCTGCTGAATACAGCAACTAAAACTTAAAGGGATAGAAACAACAATGTTAAACTAAGCAAAAGATTTCTTGGGCTAAAACTTGTAATTTTACTTGTTTTCCTGATTCAGTAACGTAATATTGTGGCATCCATACATCCCAAATGACTTAAACATATGAATGTGAGAAAATGCAATAATGCTCTCCTATTAATCAATAGCAACAACAACCTTGTGGAAATCATGTGCTATTGGAGGCATTATTTTATTAATACTTTGATTCAGGTTTCAAGAGAAGTAATTTCTTCTGAGGATCCAGCCAGAATTAAACATTTCTACATCAAAAGTGCTTGAACTTACCTAAAAGAGAATAGAAATCCATAGAACAAAATAAAGAAATTTTAAGCATCTAGGGAGGTAAATAATAAATAAATGGATTTTAAAAAGTGGAAAAAAATAGTAGCAGGCAAAACCACAGTAACAGCAGAAAATTATGTTATCATGATTAAAAGTACATACCTAAATAATATGTATGCTCTTGACTGTAGGCAGTAATCCGAAACCATAACTAATAAAAATTTGTTTTACAAAGAGGAAGTGCATGGAAGATTAAAGCTATAAACATCACACATCATATACAGGTTTGGAATTTGGTCAATTTGATACAAGAACAGACAAAACATATCCAAAATTACTAGATCAAAATACAAACATGATAACCTGTATTATGAGAACACCTGCAGAACCTATTGTTACGGTTGCTGTACAAAACAAAAGGTAAGAATAATTACACAGCAACAGATGGGCTGTGTTTTGATGAGCAGATGGCATGATTTTCAGTTGTATCAGCTCAGCATGGTTGAAAAACTCCACAAAGATTGTGTTATCACTTCTGCATATCTTAGTATGTTTCTACCCTGTGGCAGGCAATCCAGTACAAAATCCTG